ATATATAATAATATATATACACACACATGCCCTGATACACAGGTGCAGATAACACATACGTGTATATACATATGAACATGTATTATAGCTGCATATGTAAATTCTTGGTAATACTACCCCTACTTTGCATGTAGAACTAAGGCTCTCCAAAACCAAGAAAGAGAAAAGGAAACAGACATTTTAATTAAGGGCTGGCCTAAGAGACAAGAAAGCTGTACTCCGCAGCATCCCATACTTAAGAATGAAAGGAAACTGCACAGTAGCTTCATATATGACCAATGATTTTTTTAAACACTAATGAAAATAACATACATATTTGTTCTTTCCAAAACCCAGAGTGTCATTTTGTAACTCCTTACAACATGACTGGATCACAGCACCTACAGAAGCTTCATAAAATGAACAGCAGCTCTTCTTTTTTCACACAAGTTATACAAAATGCCTCACATAAGGAATTAGTCTTGGCCATCTCTGGAATACTATTGGGGGTATTTTACCTGTGCAAAACCCACTTCCGACTTAATCATTCTGCAAGTGAGGAAGAAGTCACATCCCGTGCCCTTGCTAGCAAAGGATTATTCTTCTTCTAAGACAAACAGGTATGAACCTTTCAAAAAATTACCTCTTTGCCTATAAGTTGTTCCTCCTTTGCCAGCAGGACCATCATATACAGCAAACAGACAATCATGTTGTGAGTCTGAGGATGAGGATTGGGATTCCAGGCATCAGAGAGGACGCTGACCCAGTTTATTTCACATAAAACATAACCCAAGAATAAGAAACAACTCTTGGGGCTGCCTCTTTCAATCTAGGAAGGAGAAAAGACAGGCACATTAAACAATATGAGATATAAATACTTTATTAACTTTTCAGTTCTTTAGCCAACTATAAACCCACATCAGCATTTTAGGCCAACAGAGGAGTAGACAGATGCCACTTGTCCATCATTTTGCACCCCCACCAGAAGAGTTGTACATATAGCTTTCTAAGCCTCTCAAACAACCAGTACAGAATACCAAACTACTGCAAACCAGAAAGAAATTATCTATTACAAACTCTTAGCTGCATGATTGCATCCGTTTTTCTTCACTCTAAGAGAAACTAAGAAACTCTGAGCCTATTCAGAACTGCATGGAGAAGTCATCCCAAACAGATAAGGAGTAAATCCTGGAGCATTTCCACACCTATCTGCAGCTTTATGTTGTCTCAGACAACCTGGAAGTGAGAACAACATGGCAATAGTAAAAGATATTAACTCAAACTAAATACGTATTAAGTATATATGTAATAATTGATATAGTCAGATAGAGCAATGACAGATTACAAAGACTGCCAGCTTTACAGCTCCCCACAACTTTGTCTAAGACTCAGTAGCACTCCTTCACAAAAATCAATCACAAAATGAGTATTTGTGAATGCTACAAACAAAACTTTAAAAGCTTACTTGCTGAAAGAACTGTCTCCAGCTCTCTAGTCATTTTCAGGGGCAATACTGATTATGAACTTAATTCAACAGATGCTGTGTACTCACTTTAAAGAACTCTTCCATAAGCATCTGGTCTGGATGCATTTCCTTCCATGGAAGCCTTCTGAACTCAGTATGGAAAGAATAGAGAATAAACTCTGGCATTTTGGGGGCTGTGCAACATTCACAGTAATACATTAGATGTAACCAGAGAGCCCCATGGTGGCTTGGCAACAGCTTATCTAGATTCAAAGAAAATAGTCAAATTAACTACAGCAAAAAATTTAGGGAAAGCTTGATTACAGAAGGAAGTCCAAGTTGGAAGATGAAAAACCATAAATGCAAGTTACACTAAAATACATTCATCAAAAGAAAAAAAACACACACTAAGCTTTAATTTTTTTTTCCTCCAAATCAACAAATGAGGAATCTTATGATTTTATGCCCTTCCCTCGTGTTTTGAGCAGTTGCTGGACAATAATCTGAAGCTATAAAATACTCCTTCCATGTAGAACTTCATTGCTTTTTTTATGTTGGGTTGTTTTGTTGTGGGTTTTTTTAGAAAGACCTTACATCTCAAATTTTATAAAACACATAATAATATGTTATTTTTAATTACTTGTTTCTACAAGATAAGTTTGAATCTAAAAGTTCCTAACAAACAAAATCCCCTCACATCCCACATCTCAATCAAAAATCTTTTTTTCGTCTGATAGTGCCACTACATTATAACAGCGTGGACTTCACCCACCTTTAAAGTTCTCGTGCAAAAGCTTGACGCAGTCAGTAAACAAGCAGACCATGCTGGATGCTACAGGAGTGTCGCTCTCTAACCAAGGGTAGCAGGGCTGCTTGCTTAAAAGATGATGTGAAGCAACACAAATTTCAGTGCTGAGTTACAAGACCATAAACAGATCATAAGCACTTAAACAATTTAAATATTCAAAAGCGTAGTAGATCAGTATAGTAGGTAATACATAGTAAATCAATATAGTAGCCATCAGTAGTCATTTGTTCAAACTCAGCTCTTTAGAACTGCCTGATTCTTCCTTAGCAGAGGTACATATTTTCATGTCACACTGAAGGTCCATGATACCACTGAGAAAGCAGAGATTACTTGTTTGATATTTTATAACTGAATTAAATACCAAAACATAGGAATTTCTGAATGAGAGCACATACCATCATTAAAAGGTTGGCAGTCAACCTTCTAATTAAATGTTGGAGATGCACTCACAGCTCAAAAAGCTTTTGGCTTTCAAAGAAAGTCAAATTTAAGGGTATAACATTACAAGTAACTCTCCATATGAGGACAGAGGTACACAAGACAGTGAATCATTATAGGACTGATTTAGCCCAAGGTTTCTTTACATAACATGGCATTTGGGGTTGTATTTGTTTGGCTTCGTTCTGTTTTAAACTAAGGAGTTATCAGTATTACAGAAGCTTAAAAAAAAAAAAGGAATCTAAAACTTAAATTTGAGCGTTTCCAGAACTAAGTGCAATTCATATTTTTCTCATTTCTGCCTCCTGATCAAAGTTTGGTTATATTTTTGTATCTAAAACAATAACTTGAGTCTTGGAAAATTTGACTGTAACTTACGAATTAGTTCTGTAATTGTTAAGGATATGACATGAGTCACAGCTATTTAATGGAAGGTCACAATACAATCATGAATTAGGAAAAAAAAAAATCAGATTAAACCTTATAAGAATGGCTTTCATTGTTTAAGTCCTTACTTGAGCAAAAACACATTTAATTTTAAAATGCAATATGTACCTTGCATCTTCCTTTTCCATGACCAGTATCCATGGTTTAAAGAGTCCAGCAATGACTGAATACAAGGACTGCAGTGCTACAAGAATATAAAACATAGAAATTGCTTTTTTACGGCTCAAATCAGCAAAAGTGAACATATTACACTTTTACAAACTTGAATACAATGTCCTTTGCTTATTCAAACATCTAATCAGTTCTTCCTAGTCAAACAAAAATTTAAAATACAATATGCTGATTAGTAACTCTGGTTAACAGTATCATTGTTTTAATAACAATCATAAGCATTTCGCATTGCTTAGATGTTTCATTAATATCACTTTAATACATCTGAAATTGTGGGGGTAATGATGATTCACACTTTAAACGTGCATACACTAAAATAAAAGGTGTTTCGGCAATTTTCTCCAAATCAAAATCAGCACAATGGAATTCGGTAGTTCCTCATTCCCAAACTTCTGCTCGGTGCAAAACACTACATTTTTCTTTGAAGAATATATGATCTCTTCATAAAATAATTTTAAGGCAAGCTCAAAATATAAACAAGCTTCCTCTAACAAGCAGAAAGCCCCACACAGCCATGAAGTTACATTAACATCTCCCATCTTACACAGAGTAAGAAGATTTTACTGTATATTTAAATGGTCTTTTTTACAGAGGAAATTAGGGAAACCGAGTGCCTGTTCATAAGTAATTTGCTTTTAAGACAGATTACCTGCTAGAATTCTGTTACTGCCAACAGGCTCTTGGCCTAAATTGGCAGCTTCAGTGTCAATAAGTCGTTTAATAAGATACTCCAGAAATTTATTCACTTCAGCCACATAAGGACTCCATTTTGAAAACAGGCCAAAAGTCCTGAAGTCCACTGAAGACAGCCGGAGTTTGCAGAAAGATGTGGAAAGCCATTCTAGTGTCTCTCTAACCTGTAAAAAAGGAAACTATTGATCAGCTACAAAAAAGACTTCACAACAGTGTTATTTGTCACTGATGGGCATCTGTTTCAGCTGAAAAACATAATAAATCAAGCAAAGAAGCACCCACCTGTTCTGCAGAGAGAAGAGTTTTTGCAGCATCCTGCAATACAGGACTTTCAGTAGAATCACTTTTCTTGAAGCTTCCCTGTTCAGTCACTGGTGAACCACATCCCAAGGCTTTAAGTGATGCCTTCCAACAGTCAGGGCTTAAAAGCTGCTCTGATGAGCCTTAGGAGAGAGAGGGAATGCATTTATGAAAATCAGGTAAAAGATATTAGCCCCTTTCTCAATATGAGTCAGAAAGGTTAAAATTAGAGCTCACTACTGTATAAAAAAAATTAGGTAAGGTGTAAGTTTGAAAGCCTCAACTTTAAGGGTGAAAGATATCTCTAATTTCCAAACACAAATAAATTAACATTCCCTTTTGGTATCTACATGGTCTTGTCTTATAGAGTTTCCCAGGCTACAAACACACATTAAGAGATCGTTGCTGCTTCAGTACATATGGCTTGACAAAAAATAAGTACTTTAGTTTTCATTTTAGAGGCAGATCAGATTGTAGGTAACCTATAATGTCAACCAGGACATTTTCAGCAGATTTCAGTATCAGTCCTAGGTCTCCATAATTCCAATTCTCACTTTGACATTGAAGGGTGCTCAAGAACAAGGATGCTGCACTACAGACTGTGGCATAATCGTAATTAATAAGTGCTTCCATTAAAAGAAACCTCTCCTGTAATATGGGTTGAAAATCTGTTGCCACTGATGCATGTACTTTGATCTGCAGAAGAACGTTTCTTTCTAGTAGAACTAAAATACATCTAATAAAACCATAGCATGTGCATAAAAGTGCGTATAGAAACCTAAGAAAATTTAAATCATTACGTGTTTGTTGCTATTTAACTCTACTGCATGCAGTTCATATTTTTAAGCCAGAAGAGTTCTGTACGAAAAGCTTTGTATGCATCGATTCAGATACTCACTTTGCACAAACAATCTTAGGAAGTCACTATAGTGATCAGGGAACTGATACTGGAGAAGGTTACTCCAATGCTTGCAGAAGATATTAAATGGCATCAAAATGTCTTCTTCAGGTTCAAGGCCACATGCATTGAGAGCTAAGTGAATAGACTCCAGAAGCTTGGTACGTTCAGATAGAGGTGGCTTAGCAATGCTTAACCACTGTGTAAGGTCAAACTAGAACAGAGGACAGGAAGCATGTGTAAGTAGAAGTTTAACAGTCACAACACCTTTAGGAGAAGGAAGAGATTTTCAGACGAAAAAAAAAAAATCCTGAAGTTTTTACATATTTAAGAAAAACCTAATGAATTTGCACCTCATTAATCCTAACTTAAAACCAAGGTAACACTCTCCAAAGGTTATGATTTCGCATATTGCGGAAGTCCCTGAATTTATGAAACAGCCCTTGGCAAGGTTCTCAGATTCATAGAGACGCATATGAATTTCCACGTTCAGTACTACTGCTAAAGAAACACAAGCATTAGTCTGGGCCAGTCTCCACAGTCGATACATTTTCAGGTGGAGGTGCAAAGCACCTCTAGGCCATCTGCTCAGACCTAGATCAGCAGGAACACTGC